TAACGCATATTACCGAGTTATTGCGTAGATGAGGGAAATTCTATAATCCCAACATATAATATATCTTACATCATTACATATGGTGTACTTACCTTGATTTCTGAAATGTTTTGTAATGATATGCAATTAGAAGTTTGAGATTCTAGAGATATACATGGTCAATGCTTGGAAACTTCTTAAGGTTGCTGCCCATCCAAATCCATGAGACAAATAAGATTAGTCATACTGATTAGAACTCTTAACTTAATTTTTTTTTTTTTTTTTTTTTTTGAAAATAACAAACACAAATGTGGCTAGTAAGGTCTTCATCTCCTGGCCATGGATTTCGTCTCCGGCCGTTCTGTTGTTTTAATTTTTAATTTTTATAAGTATTTTTTTATTTAAAATTATTTTTAAAATATGCAACCTCCACGTCAGCAAAGAATTAGGTAATCATGTCATTCTAGACCTAATTGCATGAATTTGTGTAGTTTAGGGTGCCAATTGTATATTTTTGAGTTCGATGGCCTAATTGTAGTTTGGTGTGCAGTTCAGTGGCCTATTTGACCCTTATTCCATATATATATATATATATATATATATATATATATATATATATATATATATATATATATATATATATATATATATATATATATATATATATATATATATATATATATATATATATATATATATATATATTTCCCACATCGATGGGAAAAGTGGCATGGGAGCCTTGAGGCTCCTATAGTGAGCCAGCGAAATTGGCTGTTGTTATTCAAGGAGTGAAATGGTTTTACAGTAATATTTTTTTTTTTTTTTTTTAAATATAGAGGTGTTTTGGGGAAATCATTCTCAAAAAGCGCAAATTGAAAATATTGTAAATTGTAACGTTTGTATTTTCAGTGGTTTGCAACAAATTGTTGCATCAAACTGTTGAATAACCAAAACACTTTCTTTAGCATTTTGATCTTTGGGCTACATTATATTTACCAATCGTCCAATATATTTGGGTTACATTATAATTAAAAATTTTAAATTTTTACTACTTCATCTAAATTCCTTAAATTAGGAATTCCTTTATCCATAAATATTTATTCAACAACAATGGTTGAACTAAATGAACACGGAACAAAACACCTAAAGAACGGGTACCGTTGTTTCATATGTGCATTCATTAAATATATTAGAACCATTTGCAAGCAAATACTTTGGTTACTATTTAAAAAAAAGTTTAGTAACAATTATAATGGATCTCATACATTACATTGTATTCATATACTTATGTATGAACTTCTCATATATAATTTTGCATTGATATGCTTTCAAATATTTATTTAATTATAAACATTGAACATTAACTCATTCGGGGTATTCTCTTATATATGGTATTTTTGAGTTACAATTTATTCAAGCACATTAAAGTTCGCCCTATAAAAAGAGCCTCATAAACCCTACCTCCAATACGCCTCTGTGCTCTTCAGCTTCTTATTCGCACGAGATCATTCGACTTATACTTTTGCAGTTGCCAGTGAAGTCTGTGACACGATGCAAGTGCATATGTAAACAATGGTGTTCGTTGATAGACGACTTAGATTTCAAGTTCTCATATCGTGGACAACGACGAGTGATCTTCTTCTCGACCGAATCCATAAGCAAGGATCGAGATTGTCGATGGTCGATTTCCAGATTCTTAGTTAGATCTACAAGCCATGATCTTCGTCTTCGAAGGCATAAGTGGCCGTTCGGACAGGTGTCCGCAAATTATGCTGTGCAACCAAATGCACCATGCGCATGGTGCATTCGATGCAAAACGACGTCGTTTTGATTAAAAAACACACGTCCCACTTAAAGAAGAAATCAGGTTCGATTCCTGGCAATAGCATTTTTATATATCCATAAATTCATAACTATATATCCATAAATTCATAACTATATATCCACAAATTCATAACTATATATCCACAATGAATGAATGAACTAAATATCCACAATGAATGAACTAAATATCCACAATGATTGAACTAAATATCCACAATGAATGAACTAAATATCCATAAATTCATAACTATATATCCAGAAATTCATAACTATATATCCAAAAATTCATAACTATATATCCATAAATTCCTAACTATATATCCACAGTGAATGAATGAAGTAAATATCTAGAATGAATGAACTAAATATCCACAATGAATGAACTAAATATCCATAAATTCATAACTATATATCCAGAAATTCATAACTATATATCCACAATAATACTATTACCGAGAATCGAACCTGATTTTTATTTTTATTTTTTTTTATGTGGGACGCGCGTTTTTAGTCAAAACGACGTCGTTTTGCATCGTATGCACCATGCGCATGGTGCATTCGGTTGCACAGCATAACTATTGACAGGTGTCTCCATTGATTCTTGCAAGCTTCGAAAATGATCTTAAAGTTTCGTGTTCTTGCAACGGGTTTGTGCTTCTTCTGGTGGCTAAGAAAGATATTTGGTTGTGGAACCCGTCCACTAGGTGTTCGACGAAAGTGCTCAAGTCTCCATATCCGGAGGAGTCTAACCCAATTACCCTTGGAGGGCTATGCTACGACTCATGCACTAGAGATTACAAGGTTGTCTTATCACTTCGCCCTGTCTTATCACTTCGCCCCATGAGACGGGGTAGTTGGGATTGGGATGAGTTTGGCTATCCATTTCTCATCTCTGCCAGCTTGAACCACAAAGAGTGGCGACCAGTGCAGTTCCCTTGTAACTTGGATTCTGTTAGGGGCAGTGTTGGGGGCGGCGTTGAGTTTCGCAATACATTTCACTGGGGGGCAAGTGACCTGAAAGATTGGGATTGGTATAGGAATTACTCGTCGGATAGGAATAGGATCATATATTTTGATCCTGTGTATGATGAATTCAGAATCTTGCCCTTGCCCACCTGCGAACAGAGAGAAAACTTCTCGATATTCGGGTTGGGGGTTATAGATGACTGTTTATGCATGGCGGCATGCATGGTTCGGGAAGAGAAAGTGGAACCAAAGACCAAAATAGTATGGATTATGAAGGAATATGGCAGACAAGAATCATGGATGACTGCATTTGCTTTCCAAATGCCTGAATTTGGAGATATTTATGGGAGCTATGGCTTAACATTCTATACCCAAAATAAGAACGCACATGAAGTATTATTCCTGCATACTGCGGGTTGGTGTGGGGAGGTTGTATATGTTTATGATTGGACACAAGACGAACTGAAGACAAATGTGATGGACTTCCTAACCTCAGGGATAGAATCGTTATTAGTATGTGTTTCTATGTTGAGAGTCTCGCGAGCCCCGACCGGCCACAATGGATTGATTTGGAGAAGTGATGATCTGATGATGATAATGATAAGCGCAGGACCAACACCTTTCCCAGAATTTCAACTGGATTGATGAAAGTCTAGAAATAAAGAGTTGTCCAAATTCAAGGTAGGTGTTTCTTAGGCTCTTTATACCACTTTTTCCTTTACATTCTTTAGTCTTTATACTAAAATTTCTTATCCTACTATTTTTAAGATTAGAAATGATGCCGAATCCGGACATTTTTATCTACAGGGAGAATTTTGAAAAAAAAAATATGATGGTTTGATTCGGATTTTAATGTCATTCGGACATTTCCTAATTTTCTAGCACAAATGGCCATTCTTTAGAGGAAAGTTCAATGTTGAACAATCAGATATTAAAAATTAATACAAAAGTGTATGTATTTATTATTTAGGTATAAACAATGTAACTTGAAAGCCTAAGCTGCTTTTTGGTTTCTTTAATTTTTAATTTTTTGCATGTCTCTGAAGACAATAATGCTCCAATGCATACAGATGTGTAAGTTTCAAAGTTACTGCTAAACCATTTCCTATAATTATCCCTACCAATTATGATCATTACAAATCAAAATTATGTTTACAGGTCAGGTTTGCTCAATTTTCGATTCGGTTTTAAAATTTCATTTTCGGTAACAAATTAAAATTGAACTGAACAGTCCATTCTTAGTGTTGAAGACGATTTAGAAAGTGAATATTCGATGAATTTGAGGTCATCGATAACCGCTAATGAAAGCTTCAACTCCATTGTCAAACATACCTAATGAAATCATTCAGCATATACTTTTGCAGTTGCCGATGAAGGCTGTGATCCGGTGCCAGTGTGTATGTAAACAGTGGCATTCGTTGATAAACGACGACCCAAATTTCAAGCTCTTTTATCGTGGATAACGACGAGTGATACTTCTCTCAATCGAATTCAAAAGTTATCTGCGAGATTCTAACTGGAATTCCAGAGTCTTAGATAGATCCACAAGCCATGATTTTCGTCTTCAAAGGCATATATAAATGGCCGTTCTGAGAGGCTGCTCATCCATTGGTTTACTATGTTACAGTTTTGTGTTCTTGCAACGGGTTTGTGCTTCTGGAGACTTGGAGAGATATTTTGTTGTGGAACCCGTCCACCAGGTGTTTTACAAAAGTGCTTCAAGTCGCCATATCCAGATGAGTTAAATTTTGTTATGTTGGGAATAACACCCAAATAACCGTAGATTATTTCCATCCACAATAAATTGTGGAGTGAGGTTTAACTCCTACAATTGTGGTCCTCTCCACCACATCTCTCCCCTCTTTTAGTGGAAGTTGAATGGCTAAGAGAGGAGGAGCAGGTATTTCTATAGCTATAAATACCCTGCTCCTCCTGAGCTCTAAACACACCAATACATTCTTCTATTCTTATATTCTTTCCAAGCCTTCTGTCTGAGCTCTATATCGGGTTCTACTGTGACTGCGAATACCTGGGCCGGTATCTCGTAGAAAGTCTGTGTGCAACCAGGCGAAAGCACCCGGTTATACCGGCAATTTGCTTTTGAGGTAGTGTATTCACACAACATAGGATTCCCTTCCTTTTCCCAAATCAGCCAATATAAAAAGCAGTGTTACATCGACATTTTCCGGTACATAAAAACCAACAGTTAAAAGCAAATTATTCTCCTGAAAATGTCGTCAATGACAAACATGCCCTCCTCTGACCTCGCCAAGCTCGAGCCTCTCACCGGCCTGAACTATCGCCAGTGGGCGATCAAGATGATGATCCACTTCGAGTCCTTCGAACTTGATTACATCCTCGCTCTTGATGATGTGCCTGAGGCGTCTCAGACCAAGTCTCCAGCTTCGACGCAAACTGAGAAACAACTGACTGTCGTAGACGGCACCTCGGATCCAAAGACACATGATCCCAACTGTAACACCGCATGTTACGACCCCAAAACTCAAATTAATTAATTAATTACTTAGCCCAAAAAGGGAGTTAAAATTCATTAATTAGCTAAAAGGGGGTCCACCATAGTCCATGGGCCCTTATCTCTAAAGCCAATCCCTTAGTCCTATAGGAAATAAAATTAGCAAATCCATACCACTTAGACCCTAATTGGGACTCCTAGATATATAAATAGGGACATAGGAGGCACCTAGAACTCACACCACAATAACTTTCACCACACAAGAATTCCCGTAGGAGAAATCAAGAAAGAAGAAATCTTAAAGAAAGACCCTTCATAGCCAAGGAAATTAATTAACGCTAAGAGGTAACCCATGTCTCAACAAAACGTATTTTCCTTGCTATAATCTCCTTCTTTGGCTCCTCCTATATACTTGTGTCTTGATGAATTTCTTTATGATATTTGTGAAATAATCTTGATTGGTTGATATGATGATTTTATGAGTGATCTTGACGTTCTTGATGTTAAAAAGAAGTTCTTGATATTTATGTGATGATTTCTTGATAAACCTTGATGATTCTTGATAATGAAGATAAAATATGATTTTGATGATTTGGGTGGGGTTAGAGCCCTAGGTTGGATTGGGAATTGGTATTGTGATGTTCTTGATTTATATTTGGGTGGGAGTTTGCATGTTCGGGTATTGTTCGTGTCTAGAGGTCATGATAGGATGTGTTCAATATGATTCTTGCTTTCGATCCATTAAATGCCTATGTGGTATCGTTAATCCCGCGTTTAAAAGTGTCTAAGCATGGTTTCAGATTCCACAAAGAATCCCGGGACGCGTATTTGATAAATGAGTCAGTGGGGGGTAGGGGTACCCGCCACATACCCGCTGCCCAAAGAGAGATCGCCAGGCAGCGGGCAGCCGGCGGGCAGTTGTCTGCCCGCCGAGCACCCGCTGCCCAGAAGTTGTCGCCGCTGCAGCCGGCGGGTGGCCTTCCACCCACCGGCTACCCGCTGGTTTGTCACCCACCCAGGGTCTTTGGCTTCCCCGTTTGATGTTCCCCATTCCCCGTGGCGTCCTAACGGACCTCGTTTGTCGTACTTGAGTCTAGTTTGATGTTTCGGGTACCCATCGTAGGATAAAAGAGTTTTATGAATTGCATGCTAGTTGAATCAGTAACCCGTTTGGCCTAGGTGGAAGTCGTATGAACCCCTTAGAACTATTCTTAGTATGTGAATGATCACACGTAAGCTTATTTATGTGTCACCCCCTTCCCAATGTGCTATTATGTAACACCTCGTGTTACGACCCCTAAAACCAATTATCCAAAGAAAGAATTAAATTACAATAATTAATTAGGAAAAGGCCCACCATAGTCCGTGGGCCTCACCTCTAAAAACCCAACCCCTAGTCCTAAAAGGAATAGAGTTAGCAAGCCTATAGTATTTGGGCCCTAATTAGGACTCTTAGATATATAAATAAGGGACATAGAAGGCACCTAGAACCCACACCACAATAATCTCTCACCACACAAGGAGCTCCAAGAATTCCCCTAGGAGAAATCAAGAAAGAAGGAAGACTTAGAGAAAGACCCTTCATAGCCAAGGAAATTAATTAAGGCTAAGAGGTAACCCATGTCTCAACAAAACCTATTTTCTTAGCTATGATCTCCCTCTAGGCATCCCTCTACATTCTTGTGTATTGACGATTCGGTTATGATATTAATGGTGTGATCTTGATAATTGATGTTATGATTTCTTGGGTAATCTTGATAATCTTGATGATGGAAAGAGATTCTTGATGATTGTGTGATATTCTTGATAAACCTAGATTCCTAATGATTGTGTGATATTCTTGATAAATCACATTGTTGATTAAAAGATGAATTGCGTTCTTGATGATTTAAATATAATTAGAGCCCTAGGATGTATCGCGAAACTCGTGTGGTGTCATTCTTGATATATTGGGTGGGAATTCGCATGTTTGGGTGTCAATTATGTTTAGAAAGCATGATAGGATATGTGCCGTATGTTTCTTGCTTTTGATCCGTTAATTGTCTATGTGTTGTCATCGATTGCGTTTAAAGGTGTCTAAGCATGGTTTCGGGTTCCACAAAGGTTCCCGGGACGTTATTTGTGAAAAAGAGTCAGTGGGGGGTAGGTGGGGATAGGGGACCCGCCACCTACCCGCGGCCAGGTTTGGCGTCGCCGGCAGCGGGCGCCTGCCCGCCGGGCACCCGCTGCCCGGAAATTCGTCGCCGGCGGGTGACCCCTCACCCACCGGCTACCCGCTGGAAATTGTCCAACCTCGGGATCCCGGCTTCCCCGTTTGATGTTCCCCCGACCCCCGTGGTGTCCCAACGGACTCCATATATCGTGCCTCTAGTTTGATGTTCGGGTACCATTCGTAGGTTGAATAAGTCTTATATATTACATGCTAGTTGAATTGGTATCCTGTTGGCCTAGGTGTGAGAAGTATGAACCCCTTAGGTTTATTCTTAGTATGTGGATGATCACGCATAGGTTTCGTTATACGATTTCTCCCCCTTCCCAATGTGTCAATGCGGGTTGCATGTGTTTGCTATGTGTTATGTGTGCATGATACCCCAATTTGGTTGCGATCAAATTGGTTATTCCTGAGCTGCGGTTCAGAAGCTGGCTACGGTCAGATTTACACTCTCGGGCTGCGGTCCACCGTTTGGTTGCGATCAAACGTTTTACATGAGCTGCGGTTCATATTCCTGGCTGCGGTCAGATGACTACTCTTGGGCTGCGGTCCACTGTTTGGTTGCGATCAAACATTATGATGAGCTGCGGTTCATCGGTCGGTTGCGATCGACCCCTCCGTGTTGCGATACGGGGCAGGGTGCTGCGGGGCCGTGTCAGAGCTATATGCACTGACCCTCATGTATGGGCATGCGATTGGTCCTGTGGCGCCATTAAAGTGTGCTATGTGATGAGATATGGATGATTTGATGTTATAAATGCTATGAAATCGTGACCATAGGATACATGCTAGTAAATCGTATATGCTTGGTTATGACTATTGGTTGTGCTTATCTCTATCCGTCGAGTCTGTCCCCTATGCTTGTGAATTATGTGACTGTTGACTGTGCTTATCCCTATCTGTCGAGTCTATTCCCTGTTTTAAAAGCTAGAGTCTCTTAGGATATATCTCCATGCTTCGAAATGGTTTTTCTTATATCTATATATATGCCTATATGTATTGTATTTCAATGCATTGGAGTGGGTTACCAGCATCTCTCGCTGAACAGATATATTTGGCTTTCAGGCACAGAGGAGTAGACACTGGAGCGCGCTAGGGTCTTGGAGCGTAGAAGTAGATAGTTTCTCTTTCGGCCTGCGTGCCACGCTTATGCATTTACATTATTGAGGATATTAGTTAGTTAGCCTGTGCACCTGAGTTCTCTAGCTCAGGTGTGGCATAGCACCCCGTACTCTTTATATTATGTTTTGGGATTTAATGAGAACCTACCTTTATTATATAAGTCTTAAAAGTTGAAAAATTTCGGGGTGTTACATATTATGTGCTATAATGTGTTATGTGATGCATGATTCCCCAATTTGGTTGAGAACCATACCAACGGTTAACCAGACCGGTTGCGATCGGTCAGGTATATAAATATTATATAGGGCTGCGGTCCACTGTTTGGCTACTTATGAGCTGCGGTTCATTCTCCTAGCTGCGGTCAGTGATTCACTTCTTGGGCTGCGGTCCAATGGGCCTCGTGTGCTATGACCCACCGACCTGGACGCGCCAGGCGGTGTGTAGGGCCAATAAGCCCGAGGAAGGCTGTAGTCCACCGAATGAGCAATCAGGCGGTGTGTAGGGCTACGGCTGGCTGCGATCCACCGAGTGATGGGCCAGCGGTGTGTAGGGTCGTAGTCTCCGAGGATTTTCGCCCACCGACTAAGTCCCTCAGTGGTGTGTAAGGCTTGATCTGCTACGATCCACCGACCGTGCCCGTCAACCGTGTGTAGGATCGTAGTCCCCCCTTGTAAAGAGGATCATAGTCCACCGACTGAGCGCGTCAGCGGCGTGTAGGACTGTGGTCCGCCGCTGAGTTCGTCAGCGGTCTATAGGGTTGGTTGCGATCAACTCCCTTCATGCTGCGGTATGAGGTAGGGTGCTGCGGGGCCGTGTTAGTGCTATATGCACTAACCCTCATGTTCGGGGCATGCGATTTGTCCCGTGGCGCCACCAAAGTGTGATTGTGTGATACGAATGATGATTGGATGATGATATGATTGATTTGAAAGTGATCTATGACCTTAGATGCATATTATTTACGATGGTTGTCTATACTTAACTGTTATCATTGATTATTATGCTTGCCCCTAATTTCTGAGTCTATTCATGGTTTTAAAGCTAGAGTCTCTTAAGTATATATCTTCCTGCTTCAAAATGGTTTTCATATATCTATATATATCTATCTATATTGTATTTCAACGCGTTGGAGTGGGTTACCAGCATCATTCGCTGAATAGATATATTTGGCTTTCAGGCACCGATGAATAGACCCGGAGCGCGCTAGAGATCCGAAGCATAGATTAGTTAGTTTCCTTTCGGCCTGCGTGCCATGATTATGTATTGACATCTGTATTGAGGATTTTAGTTAGTTAGACTGTGCATCTGAGTTCTCCAACTTAGATGTGGCATAGCACCTCGCGCTCTTATGTTTGATTTTGGGATTTAATGAGAATTTACCTTTATTATATAAGTTTTAAAAGTTTAAAAATTTCAGCGTGTTACACCAACACTGCATCAACTGAGTCGTCCGAGAAGATGCAATAGGTTCGTACGAAGTACGAAAAGGATAACAAGACGGTTCGTGGCACCTTGCTGCAACATATGTCTGACAATGTACTAGACATTTATGCGAAGTACAAATCTGCGAAAGACATATGGGACATGCTCAAGAAGAAGTATGGAGCAGACGACGTGGGCCGAAGAAAGTATATGGTCGGGCGTCTGCTCAATTTCAAGTTGGCGGACTCCAAGCCTGTCATTGAACAAGTACACGAGTACGAGAATCTTGTGTCCGACAAGGAGGCTGAAGGCATCCCGGTAAGTAACATGCTTCAAACTTATGCTTTACTGGAGAAATTACCTGAGTCTTGGAGTGAGTTCCAAAATAAGATAAAGCATGAGTCAAAGGACTACACCTGGGAGGAAATGGTTAACCATCTGAACATCGAAGAGGCGTATCGCCTCAGGCAAAGGTCTGTTTCTCAAACTGAAAATTTAAATGCTAACATAGTAGAGTCCAGTGATAAGAAAGGTGACAGGTCAAAGCTTTCAAAGTCTAGAGGGAAAAAGAACTGGAAGAAAGGAGTCAAGGTGAACAATGGCAACAAATTCAAGAGCCAAGGGAAATGAGGCCCCTGCTATGTCTGTGGCAAGCATGGGCATCGAGCAGCCCAGTGCTACCACCGCAAAGGAGGAAACGAGCAAAAGAGCGACCAACAAGGGAACCAGAATAAAGCAAACGTGGTTGAAGAAAATGAGGTGGTAGCAGCTGTGGTGACATTGGAGGCAAATGTGGTGCAAGACACTGAGGAGTGGATCATTGACACTGGAGCAACTCGCCACTTTTGTGCAAGTAGGATCATGTTCAAAGACTTCCAAGCCTTCACTCAAGGACAAGGATAACAAGTATACATGGGGAATGACAGTACTTCTGAGGTAAGAGGTAGAGGAAATGTAGAGATTAAACTTAACTCTGGAGAATACTTGTTTTTATCAAATGTGTTATATGTTCCCTCTCTACGTAGGAACTTGGTCTCAGGTCCCTTATTGGTTAGGGTTGGGATCAAACTCGTGTTTGAGTCTGAGATGATGACTCGTAGGGGGGAATATATAGGAAAGACTTATCTTCGTGGGGGACTGTTTGTTTTGCCCCTCATTGCGTACACTTCCCAAAACATTCAAACTTTTATGGATAATCTTGCCAGTCGCACTGGCGGTTCTGCTTATATTGTTGTTTCCTTTGATGTATGGCATGCTAGATTAGGACATATTGGGTTTAAATGCATGAATAGATTAAAATCTATGAGTATGCTATCAAATCTGCAAAATGACTCCTATTCCCAATGAGAAGTATGTGCTGAGGCTAAATTAGCTAAAAAACCGTTTCTTACTGTAAAGCACCATACTACATGCGCCTTAAAGTTAATTCACTCAGATATAGCTGACTTTAAAAGTACAGAGACTAAAGGTGGAAAAAGATATTATATCTCTTTTATAGATGATTTCACCCGTTATTCAAAGCTATATCTACTTAGATCAAAATATGAGGCAGAACAAAAATTTGTTATCTTTAAAACGGAAGTAGAAAATCAGCTAGATAAAAGGATCAAAAAACTTAGGTCTGATAGAGGTGGAGAATATGAGTCCACATCTCTAAAATCCTTTTGTGAAAAACATGGCATCATCCATGAAGTGACTGCGCCTTATTCGCCACAACAAAATGACATAGCTGAGAGGAAAAACAGAACTCTCAAAGAGATGATTAGTGTTTTCCTAATCAGCTCGGGCGCTTCAACCTCCTTGTGGGGAGAAGCAGCTCTTACAGCTAACCACATTCTCAATAGGATACCCCACAAAGGGTATGAGAATACTCCATATGAGCTATGGAAGGGTTATGCACCGAACCTGAAATACTTCAAAGTGTGGGGGTGCCTAGCAAAGGTAAGTCTCCCAACCTTTAAAAGGCCTAGCTTCGGGTCTAAAACCCAAGACGCTGTCTTTGTGGGATATGCAGAAAACAGCGCTGCATACAAGTTTATGTACCTGGACAGTCGCTCTATATGTGAGGCATGAGAGGCTGAGTTCTTCGAACATGTCTTCCCACTAAAACTGGCCCCACCTATCTCTCAAGAAGGTGTGCCTTTGCTACCTTCCTCATCTCAAATTGAGAACGAGGTAGAGGAGCCGAGGAGGAGCAAGAGACAAAGAACTGAAGCCAGCTTTGGGCTTGATTTCATTATGTACATATCTGAGCTGAGTGACGTTAATGAACTATCTGATCAGCTCGTCTGTCAGTTAATCTTAGAAGAAGAGCCAAAGTCCTTTGAGGCTGCTGTGCGCTCTAAAGACGCTGTTTTTTGGAAATAAGCCATCCAAAGTGAACTAGACTCTATTAAGTTTAATCACACATGGGAAGTGGTAGATTTACCCAAAGGAGCCAAACCAATTGGCTGCAAGTGGATCTTTAAAAGAAAACTGAGACCAGATAGGTCAATAGAAAGATTTAAGGCCAGGCTAGTAGCAAAGGGGTACAAACAGAAGTTTGGTGAAGACTACTTCTGCACGTATTCCCCCGTGACTAAAATAGCCACAATTCATGCGTTGTTTGCTCTAGCCTCCTCTCAGAACTGGCTAGTACAACAAATGGATGTCAAAACAGCCTTCCTAAATGGGGATCTAGAGGAAGAGATCTACATGGAGCAACCACCTGGGTGCAATGAACCAGGACAAGAGGGAAGGGTATGTAGACTCATAAAATCCCTGTACGGGCTAAAACAAGCCCCCAAACAGTGGTATGAGAAGTTTCATAAGACACTTATGGATCTGGGCTACACGCTAAACAGATCAGATGCATGTTGATACTCAAAAGAGGTAGACTCAAGTGATGTACTTATATGCATCTATGTGGATGACATGCTAATATTTAGCCACAATGTAACACCCCCCAAAAACAAGGCCCAATTGAAGCCCTAACACAAGCAGATTAACAACAAAACTAGCACAGCGGAAGATAAACGGAAACTGGATAAAAGATATCCAAAAAGGGGTGTTATGCCACGTATACCACACTAGGTAACACTAAGGCAACAATCTGCAAGTGTATAATACTATCCCAATACATCAATCTAAACAGTCTAAAAACATTGGCGCACAGGCCACAAAAACACAAAGGTGCTAAGCTACCAGGCTCTAGACATCGCTCTCGTCTAAACACTACCTGAAAGATACAAAGATAAACATTGGGACGACGCCCGGTCAGCGAATAATGCTGGTAACCCACCAATACCGTTAAGTATCATAAATAGGTAGATATAAGATATAAAAACCATTTTCGAAATGGAATACATATATATAAGTCAAAAGCCAAGATCACCAGTCAACATAAGACTCACCACTCACAAGGATAACACCGGGAACACATCCCAAACCACAAAGGTTAACCACACACAAGGATAAAAACTCACCCCATGGCAACACATGCCAAAACACCACAAGCCTCCGTGACTACACACGTCACGAGAGAAGATCACACAACACCGGCTTTCAAAGCCCTCGCAACATCACCCATCGCGAGTTTGGTATGCCTTCCTTATGCCTTGTTCCAACATTATGGCTACCCCCAACCTTGTACCTTCAAGCCAACCATTACCTCCAGGATCCCCTGTACAGCCAAGTCCAACCTTATTCCGCCGGGACCGTCGTCCCCCACCTATAACCACCAACAAACCACCACCAATCACGGCAACACATGCCCGGATAGCACATGTTATCCCCCAATCACGTGGACCCATCACTCAGGCCACAACTCCATAATCACGTCACGGCCACCACGAGGACCGCTGCAATACCTTGGTGACTAGTGTCCCATACCACTAATCGTGCAATCCAGGTAGAGCCACACATGCACCACCACTCACACGAGAGTCAAACAACAGATTACAACGAAGGTATGTAACATACTCAATCAAGGAACGGGTCACAACCCAACGACAACAACGATGGATAACACAAGTCATCATCAACCAAACGGAAGGTACAAACAACACACACGCTAGCATTAAGGCAACAAACTAGCATGCTTATCAACGAGGAAACTCAAGATAGTTTCGAGGAACACACAAGACACCTCTTGGTCCAACGAAGCACAATGTTGAACACTTAGCACGAATCAAGACACCAAAGTCCTACATGGATACCTACCATATAGTTCTAGACCTACGAAACATCAAGAAGACGCTCAAATAGTTTCACAAAAGAACATCGAGAAGCCAAAAGATCAAACACCAAGACAACCAAATCACGGGGAACAAATCCCAACATCACCACAACCATGTACCCGCGGGTGGACCTACGGGTAGTGCCCCACGCGCGGTCCCGCCCGCGGGAACATCATCCCACGAGGCCTGTATACCCGCGGGTAGGCCGGCGGGTAGTGCCTCGCCCGCGGGAACATACCTGTTCCACAACAAATCCCTTCGGGGATTTTCTTCTCCAAACACAAATTCAGGTCCAAAACATGCCAAATCTCACCAAACACAACAAAATGACTTGAACCAAGGAAAATGCCAAGCAAGAACTCAACAACTAACTCCAAACACCAACTAACACACTAGCTAAGCCACAAGGCAACAAGCAAAACAAGCAAGCACACAAAGCACACAACAACCTAACACCAAGCTAACAACGGCCAAGAAAGAAACAACAAGAAAGAAGCGAACGAGGTTACCGCAACACAAACTAGAACTCCTCACTCTCTGACTCCTCGGCCTCTTCAGACTCTTCCTCGTCTTCGTCTCTGTGGCTTGAACTGGCTTCAATCTGGTCCAGCCTCTGATGCACTGCGACGAACTGCACCTTCACAAACGCAATGCCCTCGGCGATCAAACTGTTCTGCTGACGAAGCAAAGAGACGACGTCCTGCTCTCTCTTGGTTCGAGCTTCCTTCCTTCTCCGGCTTTCCTCACTGTCTGATTCACTTACTTCAGCTTCGACGGTCTCCGGTGCTCCTACTTCTTCTTCTTGATCCGCTTCCTCCTCAACTTCTTCATCACCGCCCAAACTCTGGACTGCAAGGCTCAACTTCCCGGCATGGACACCAAGCTCGGCAGCTAACTCTGCCCGTACCACAGGTGTTTTCCTTGCAACCTCTTCTAGCGTGATGTACTCACCACTATCCAACTGAAACAGATTAAACTCCGGAGATTGGCAGTATCCAACACCATCTTTCTCACAGCCTTCGGGAGACAGCCATCCACACTAACACCTTTCTTAACCAAGATCCAACTCAGCACCGTTCCATACGACAAGCTCTTCCGATTGTGATCCCGGCAAAACACCATGTGTCGCATCATCAAAGCAGGCAGGTTGAACTTAACTATATTCTTCAGACAGAAAGCAAAGGTGCATTCCAACTTACCCAACAAACTGCTCTTGTTGTTATTAGGCAACAAACAATCTGACACCAACATCACCAAGATCCTTTGTTCCGCAGACAACCACTTCCTTTCCGGCCTCGAAGCCTGAGTGAAACCACTTGTACGACCAAACAGATAGCTCAAATAGTCACGGTACCCCATGGTATCTGTACTAATCCAAGAATGACCACTGTACTGAGCCACTCCGGTAGCAGA